TTTAATACAATGCAGAATTCAAATAGACTACACTGAAATATATAATTTTCTATATTATTCTTTATTTTGATGAATGATGTTTCCACGGTAACTAAAATTGAAATTTCTGTAAAATTCGTTTCAAAGACTACTCCTACAGATCTAGTATTATTGCAGTCTTGCCACAAAAAGAAACTAAATTGAGGATAATTATTTCATTTATTGCGGTTGCAAAGTTTCAAGGCCTACTGCTATTTTTCTCTTCCTTTTTTACAAGTACAAATCAGTAGAGCTACAGTCTCATCAGATTTCTGGTTTTCATATAGAAATATTTATCAAAGAAGTATTTGAAGATAATAACGAGCAGTATTGATATTCATGCTCAAAAGTCCATTATACAACACAAATTTTTGACCAGATCAATATACTAGAATATTGATTGTACAGAGTTTTGGTTCACAAGGATTGATGTAAAAGCACGTATCCATGCCTTTATGAAAATGTGTCAGTTTTGTTAAAAAAATTTTGTGAAAAAAATTATATCTATAAAACTTACATCTCTAGCTTGATTAAATTCTCTAGAATCTACATCGTCCCCCAAGTTGTTTGCACTCATCTGAAACAAAATTCACTCTATATGTACAATTATTATACTTGAATAAATTATATGCAAGTACTATTGACTGCTCAAATTTTCAGTTGTTTCTGAAATACGTAATCTAATTCAATAGAGCAGTGAAATGAGAAGAAATAATCTTACAGGTAAAGCATTTGGTCGTCTGCTTGACATAATGTCTTCCCTTTTTGTGCTTGCTTCTCCGTCAGGCATGATGTCAAGCTCTTCTTGGCATTCTAGAAAGCTGTGTAGAATTATACTTTCTTCTCTACTATATAAGTGCGCCAGATGAGGAAATACGTTTTATCACGTTACAGGAAAATCCATGCTTGACCTATTCTATGACAATTTTTGTCAATTGACACGAACATCTCCATTTGTAGAAATTGTTTCTATTCCTGTTGATTTGGGTTATTTTTTCAAGTTACTTTGTATTTTCTAATCTCCTCTTGTTTCTGTAAAAATTTCCAAACTATATAGACATTGATCAGCATACACCATATATTGGAGCAAGAGCGTTTTGAATTTTTTGAGCAATACATGATTGAACAGTTTAAATGTTTTGTTAGTTGAAATTTTATGATACGTTGAGATCATTGGTATTGACATTTTGGAACCAGTTTTATTTCTTTGAATAAGTTTACATGTGTAATGTTAATTATGTTTAAAAATCTGCTAGATCATAGAATATTTGTGGGCATTTGTTTTCTGGTGCCTTTCATTACTATTATCTTAAATAGATAATTGTGATAATACGGAATTGCTACATTCCTTTTGATGTAGAAAAATGTGATATGTAGAAATTAGTAAAATGCATTGTATGACAAGTCATTTTGCGCACATCAATACTAAAACGACCCTAGTGGTGTGCATATAATCCTGCACATTCAATAAAAAAATATGTGTCTACTAGATATTCTATTTATCATGTAGTTATGACATAAAATGTGATTTCCCACTTCATTGAAGTAAATACCGCTTGTGACATACAAGTCGAACATCGTTTTATCAATGATATTTTTTTTATTAAGAGATACATATCCTTGTATATTTAGGATATTTGTTACAATTTTAGCAAAATATCATTTTCAATGTCAGTACACTCAAAGGGAAAACTGAGTCGATGCTTTTCCCAGTAGCCCAGAAATCTCTTGTTATTTTATGTATCAATTTTCTCAGGTAAATGCTTTGCACTGTTTTCTATTCGAAGCATTTGTATAAGCAAAATAATTCTGCAAATATTCAAAAGCTTTGTAAAAATAAGTTTCTTTGAGGATTAAAATGCATTTTTCTAAATTCTGCATCACCATAAAACATTTTATACCTTCTTTAAAAGAAAAAACATTTTTTGATTACTAAAACCATTTGAAACAAAATATCATACGTGAGGGCTGTTCAATAAATAATGTCCTGAACTCTGACATACAACATAGAAAACATATGACATTAAGCTTGACTATCTTTCATGACTGAATATTTAATGAATTGATAACAGTTTATGTTACCACTTTCATCTCATAATTTTATTGTGAGAAGTTGGAAAACAAAGGATTTGAGAATAGCATTTTAATTGAATGGTAAAGAATCAGTAAACTATAGTGAAATTAAACGGGTCATTAAAACTGCAATAAAACTAGCTAAAATCTTAAAGAAATATTCAGTGAAATATGTGAAATTTATAGTAAACAATGTCTGTTTTATAGGTACATGAGGAGATGGATTTTAAATGAACAAAAATGATATCATTGGCAATAAAATGGGTACCGTCCTTGGCGACAAGGACGTAAAACAACCTATGTACAGTTTGCCAAAATGTAACAAATTATCACTTATAATGATATTTGATTATTTTTAATACACATAGCAAATTTGATAGGCATGATTTTGGAGGAAGTTCAAATTGCTTTAAAGAAACATTTGACAGTGAAATAAGTATCGCATGAATTACGTTACACATTTGATTAAAATATATTATAGATTTATTAAATTAGTAAATAAAACATATTAGCTTACCAAAAGATGAAGAGAGTCTCAATCAGTAGGTCAATTTCTGTCATACAAACTTAATCGATAGGACCCCTCTACGAACAATCTGGACAAAGACTGACCAGAAAAACCAAGAACATTTGGAGGGATTTAAAAAAACAAACAATAAAACATAAGAACACACAACTAAAACCCAATAGAAACAAAGAACTTATAGGACTTATGACCAGGACCTTAATAATAACCCCAAAGGCAAATAAAAGGGTAGCAGTGTATGTTAAACCTGAATGACCATAACTTTATCTAAGAAGCTGAAATAAAAATACCCGGTACATACAAATAGAATACAACATAATTTGATATTTATTACTTAATTAGAAATTTATAAATAAATTCATCACTTTTACATTTACCTATCTTGAGTGAAATATACGATCAAATGCCTTGTATATATTCTTAGAAAATGAATTTTCTCTGGTACTTTTGCCATATTTACAAAGCGCTATGTGCAGGAAGGTCGAATGATTAATTGAATAAAATGTTCGTTTATTTAGAAAGTAATAAAAAAATTACAAAAAAAAAAAACAAACAAAACATTTAAACGGTGTTAAGCTTGGTATTATATAACTTATTTAATCGCCAGCATGGTACCGTGGTTAAAAAGTTTGCTCTAGAGTCGCGGAGTAGAGCATATCCTTACGTCGTAGGGTTAAATCTCACTGCGAGACTTGGAGATCCTTCGAATAAGACCCTATAAACTGAAGTCCCTTGTTGAAGTTAGATTAGAAGGTGCTGGCAGAAAATCGATCCCCTACTGCACAATGGCTCTAAGTGATGAGCCTTGATTTACATTCAAAGCTCTCAACCGGCAAGAGGTGAAATCTCGATATGTCAGATTCATTTGATAATTCTAGAAAGGGTCTTAAACAATAACACAAATATAGCTATTTAATTTATTTATATAAAAACATATCCTGACACATAAATGATCAAATGATGGCCTTCATATATAATAATATGCTGTCAACGTTGCTGAAGACGACAGTTTATGATTGGGATAATACACAGCACTCTGAGGAAGTAAGGCAAGAGTTGAAGTAGATCCAAGACGTTACAATACCAAATAAGGCTCTCTGTTAACCAGGAAGAACACTCTTCAATCTCTTGAAGCTCTCAAAAAAAAAAAAAAATGAAACGGGGAAGATTGATCTCAAATATTTTTTTCTTACTCTTTTTAAGTGGCTGGATATTTTAAGAGGAAGATAATCTCATCAAAATGTAGTGTAGTAAAGAGATCAATAGTGGTGCTTCAGATTTATTACGCATAAATATAAAAAGTCCTTCGAAATAACATTTTGAATTATTTGACATGAGCCATAGAGATTAATAATTTTAAACGAAATCTGTTAATTGGTGAATAAAGGATATGGAGATAACGAACAGTATTCAATATCAAAGTCCATAAAACAATACAAAATAGGAGCAATGCAAACACGGATCTCCAAAACATCAGAGGTGGGATCACGTGCCATGGAGGAGTGACCATCCCCTGCCGACCGGTCACACCCGCCGTGTACTGTACTCCTTGTCATGATCGGGAAATAAAGGAAAAATCCGTCGTCAATTCAGTGTATAAATAATGGACTAACAATTAGTATGAAAAAACGTCAGCCAGCATTTGACTCAATGATAAATTGTATTTTCTGACAAGGTCATAGTATCGACCATAGAACTTACGAAATAATGACTTTAAACGAGACTGCTGATAGTCTTGATTCATCAACTTGTTTGTCAATAATTTACCTCGTTTTAGAAATTGTTCATACGTAGAATATATCATAAATATGGGCGGCAGAACAGTTGAGGCAAAATCAACAAACAATTTTGCAAAACACTGACTGAAATGGCTAAAAATTTAAAAATGCCAGAATTTTTTGCGATGAAGTCTTTCATTGGTCATTATGCTTTAAAGAAAAATTGCTATATATGCATAAACTTCTACACCTTTTCCGAAGCCAGTACAGTACAATTAGAAGAGAATCTCGTTAAAGTTTCACACGTCAAGTATCCTTATGTCTGAAACACTGTCAGTTTGGATGTAGGATCTCGTCCATAATGAAATTACATTCCTGAAAGACGATGCTAAGTAAAGGGGTCTCTATATTGATGTACATAATAGCGTACATACTAGTGGGAATATCTTGGTAATTTTTTCCTCACCAGATAAAATGTACATATGATTAACAGAGAATATTTGATAAAGAAATAAATTTCAGGGTACAAAAATATCACTTGTAGTAATGTGGGATAATTTTGTCCTCTTACCCAGGTAATTATTAATTCTATCAATAAAAAATAGAAAAAACACGTGAAAAGTATATTTTTATTTATCTAACAAACAAATGAATAATCAACAAAAAATAGTTAGTTTTTCTTTAAATTGGTCATCAAAGTATAACAAACAAAAACTTTCATGAAATTTTCTTTTCTTAAAACATAATATCACACATAAAAGTTTATAAAACAAAACTATAAAGGAAATAAACAATAATTTACCTATGCAAATAATATTTTGATCATCTTTTTGAAATTGCCACATCATTTCAAAAGAAGAGTCAATATAGAATATGTTAAAAACTTATCGAGAAATGATCATTTATTATGGATGTATGTACAATCATGAAAACAGTTCAACTTTTACTCCGTATATAATTAGATAAAGACGAGTGTTTTATCTTGATATATATCTTGAAGCTTCCCATAACAAAGTTTTTATTAAAAGTTATAAATACATGGTCATCTTTATATCATAATATGATAAAACCTAAAATTTCTTTCTTGATTGAAACACACAATTATTAAACAAAGATCTTCTCGAACTTGTTTTAGTTACCAGTAGCTCCACCTTTCGGTGGCCCTGATAACCCAAGTCCTGCAATAAAGACATTTAAAACAACGATTATAAGCATGATATACATGCTGATCTCATCACATCTCTCTACTGTCAAACACGAGGAGCAAGGACAAGTCACTCCTTTGGCCTGTTCTGATAAGACGCTAACACTTGAAGATGGCGTACCTGGCTGACTTGAAGACTTTTTGTGAGACATTTCAGCTTCTCTTTCCTTTATCCATCTACGAATCATTAGCATTCCAAACCCGATGTGAAATAAAAGTGAAAATCCGATCATCCATAATAATGGAATGTAATAGCTGTTCTCTGAACCTCCGTCTAATACTACCCGGAGCTGGGAAACGTTTGCGGCCAACAGTGAGGCGTCACACAATTGTCTAACAAAGTTTTGTCTGTCTGCAAATGGACTTTTGGAAGACGAGGTTTGCCGTTGTCCATCAACTTCCTGCAAATTATTCAAGAATGTTTCAAATTGTGAAACAACAATCAATCAAGCCAGTAATCAGGAAATATTTATCAATGAAATATATAGAGATAACGAACAGTATTCAAGCTCATACAATACAAATTTTGGAGCAGAGCAAAATAATAGGATATTGATTATAAAGAATTTTTGATTGATGTAAATTAATGTAAAAGCACGAAGTCATGCCTTTATGAAAAATGTGTCAGTTTTGTTACAATGTTTATAAATGTCAAAAAATTCATATGTCTATAATACTCACATCTTGAGGTGGAATAGGATCTCTGAAATCTACATCGTCCCCTGAAACGTTTGCAGCACGTATCTGAAACAAAATGCACTCCATATGTACAAAGTTGTAATTGAATTGGTTATACGCGGATATTATTGAATGCTTAATTTTTCAGTTGTATTTGAAATACGTATTCTAATTCACTAGATCATGTAAATGAGAAGAAATCAACTCACAGGTAAAGTATCTGGTCGTCTGCTTGACGCGAGGTCTTCCCTTTCTGTGCCCGCTTCTCCTTCAGGCATGATGTCAAGCTCTACACTATCTTTGTTCAGACTGCTCGGCATTTTAGAAAGCTGTGAACAATTATCCTTCCTTCTCTAGGTTTTATACTATATAAGTACTCAAGATGGGGAAATGCATTTTATTACGTTACAGGAAAATCCATGCTTGACCTTATGACACAAATTGTGTCAACTGACATGAGCATTCAATTTGTGGAAATTGTTTCTATTCCTGTCATTTCGGGTTATTTTTCAAAGTCACTAATATTTTCTTTCTAATCTCCTCTTGTTTACAGAAACATACCATTTATACTGAAGCAAGAGCGTTTTGAATTTATTCGAGCAATTAAGGATTGAAATGTATTTCGTTTTTTCAACGAAATTTGTTCGTTTTTACGATACGTCACAACGCGCTCATTCGAGGTACATGTAATTGTTTTTGGGATTTGGGAACCGATTTTATTTTTATGAATATATATTTGCTTGTGTAATGTTAACTATGTTTAAAATTCTGATCGATCATAGAATATTTATGGACAGTTTTTTTTCTGGTGCATTTCATTATCTTATATAGATATTGCGAAAAACGGAATGGCTGCATTCCTTTTGATATAGAAAAAATGTGATATGTAGAAATGAGTAAAATTCATTTGTATGACAAATAATTTTGCGTATATCAATATAAGAACTGTCCTAGCTAATGGTATGCATATAATCCCACATATTCAAAAAAAAAAAAATAAATTTGTAGATAATCTAGCTATTTATCATGTAGTTATAACATGACAATTAAGTGATTTTCCACTTCATCAAAGGAAATACCGCTTGTGACGTTTAAGCCGAACATCGTTTTATCAATGATATTTTTATTAATAGATAAATGTCCTTGTGTATTCAAAATATTTGTTACTACTTTTGCAAAATGTAAGATATCCTTTTCCATGTCACACTCAAATGAAAAGCTCACGCGACGCTTTTCCCCATAGCCAAGAAACCCCATGTTATATCATGTATCAAAATTCACAGGTAGATGCTTTGCTGTTTTCTCTTCTAAGCATTTGTAGTACTATGGTCTGCAAATATTCAAATGCATTGAAAAATATCGGTTTTTGCGAAGATTAAAATGCATTATTCTAAATTCTGCACAACCCCAAAACACTTAAAGAGTCCTTCTAAATTCAACATTTATTTTTATTTATCACTTAAACCATTTGAAACAAAATATCATGTATATTAAATTTAAAAGCTTAATGCAACTAAATTCGATACCAAAAATACAAAAACGTGTATACATACATTTACAATGTACAATACATTCTTTTTCGTATGATTTATTGTCAAGAATCCCTTGATTCAACACTATGTTCACTTCCCTCATTAATAGTAATCTCGGTAATTTTCTTCTTCATTCGCAGACGTATCTCCAAGACAACATAAGTGGCCAAGGAAAGGACACCAAGTGAAAACATCATATATAGCCTCGTTCTGACACAAAGATAGTATGCCAGTATAATGTTGATTGTGTAGCCTATCGCACGCCACGTGGCTATGCTGGCAAAGGCCCCATCTGTCTTTTTCGGGTACATATATGATACTACAGCTGAAATAGAGAATACATGTAATTACTGACTCACTGAAAATATGCGTAAAATATGCCAATTTTTCCCTGGTACTAGATCACAAGCATAGAATGGATACAAGAAATGGTAACGATTGTGTTCCTGATAGTTGCTCAAATATTCGTGTTATATCAAATGTAATGAAAAGGGTGAACATAACGAACAGTGATCTATCTAAACGAGTGTGTAAAACACAACCCCGGAAAATCAAGGGGGCCGGGGGAGCAGGTGCCTAGGAGGAGATAGATCCCCTGTTCACCGGTCACACTGGCCCTGAAAAGATGCTTAATTTTAGATTAGATCGACGACTTTTTCCTTTACATAAATTAAACACATTTAAAAATATATTTATACTTACTAAATATTAATGTACGGAATCCACCATCCAGTATTCCATGTAGAGAGAGGAACCCCAGCATATGTAACAATTTGTCATTGGTCGGTTCCCAAGAAACGATTATTAAAGCTTTACTATGTATAAAAGTAATTGTAATGTCAAATGACTCATATGAATACATAAAAGGGTTCCATAATTGTATGCCTCATACACTCAGTGTTTACTCGGAGACATGAACAAGATGGTGAAATCATGTTCCTTAAGGCGCTTGTTTGTGACGATAGCAAGAGATGTGGGAGTGGTGGTAAAAAGAAAATGCACAAGAGAAGACCAATGATACGGGACGTTACAAACACTGTCATGAGTATTTTGACGGTCAGTGGATCTGGCAAGGAGAACAGTTCCTCTGTTACGGTATGTTCTGGACACAAATCTCCACCACATGATTTTATCCTGAAGAGATCTGAAACATTAGCTGTCGTTTCATTGTAATGCCCTTGAAAGAATATTTCCAAACAGTCTAGGAATTGCCATACCGAAGAAAAATATCCCATGGAATTTGCCAAAGCTGTCCTTCATTGGAGAATTTTGTGTTTCCGAGAACGAGATAGCACAACGTGATATGTACATCCCTTGCAATGTCCATATTAGCCCAGTGTAAAGACGAATAATGACCCCCATCAAATAATGACCGGGGGGGGGGTCATTTTTCAACGACAAAAAATGACCCCCCACCTGTAGAAAAAAATCATTTTTTGTAGAAAAAGTGTCCTAGGGGTCATTATTTTATATGTTGGTCCTATAAAAAAAATGACCCCCATTGAAAAATGACCTCCTTTAAAGTGATACAAAATTTATAATAGGTGAAACTAGTTTTTACATTTTCTGTAACCGGAAAAATACAAAAACTCGTATGAAATAATTAATTTTTCCTTCATTTCAACTTTTAGCTTGTATAAGTTTGGCAATTTTTCCTTCATTTCAACCTTGTATAAGTTTATCTGACAATGAAAGAGGAGGAAATTTTTACCCCCCCCCCCCACAAAAAAAGAACATTACTTTAAATCAAAACAAAAAAAAATAAATGAAAATCAAAAATAGAAATAAAACTCTATTACTCTATACCTTTCAATAATATTGAAAGAGGTTCTATATAAAATATTGAAATGAAGTTAAGCCTTCACACAATACTATCATATCACAATTTACTTCGCCATGATTAAAGCATACTTTAAATGTTGATGGTGGTATACTTGAAAGTATTGTGGCAAAGTAACAGTTGAAAATTTGTAGAATAGTAGATCATTTTAAGGTTATTTTTAGTCCCTCCTTATAGAAAAATAAAGGTAGGGTAGATTTTGTTGTTGTTTTTGTTGATAATCGACTTCCTCCTAAATAAGTAAGGGGATGGGGTGGGTATAATACCTAAAAATATGCTATGTAAAGCTATGGGCTAGTGTAAAATACACATTCTAATGCAAAAACTGTACATGTAGACATAACCTTTTGATTTAGCACAGAGTATTCATTACATTTCTTAATTCTTGTTTTACTCCACTCTAATACTCAGTTCTGAGTATATTTTTCAGAGAATTTAATATGAAAATCAGACCAAACATTTTCATTTTTGTAACGCCTTCTTTATATTGTATCATAATATGAAAAGTTAATTGAAGACCATTTCTTTTTATGTACCCGTAATCGAAGATTCGGGGGTGTATAAATTTATCGTGTCTGTCTGTATGTCTTTCTGTCTCTCTGTTTGTCCGCAAAATCTTTAACCTTGACCATAACTTTTCATTTATTGGAGCTATGACTTTCATATTTAATATTTGCATTTCGTGTGACAAGACCTTACTTCGGGTACCACCAAATTTGACCTTTTGACCTTTACCTTGGAGTTTATCCCATTTTACACAAAAATGCCAAACTTTTTATTTGGCCATAACTTTTAAAAGGTAGATACTAGTACTCTCATACTTCACATATGTATTTTTTTTGGCATTACCTTTCACTGCATACTAAAAACTTTGACGTTTTGACCTTGACCTTGGAGATTTCCGTACTTATGAAAAAAAACTTTAACCTTGACCATAACTTTTGAACGGTAAGGGCTATAGGGTTTTTATACTTCACATATGTAATCCTTGTTACATTAAACCTTTCTTAAGAAACCATCAACATTGACCCCTTGCCCGTTGAGTTTGACCTACCTTTCAAAAACTTATCCTCAGCCATTACTTTTGAACAAGTGGTGCCAGGGCTTTCCTATTTTGCAGTTGTATTTCTTGTAAGAAGACACTACTTTGGGTACCAATATATTTAAATTGCATTTAAGGAAAGTTTAATCTTCGCTTATGTTTCCATACAGGGGCATAGCTGTTTCACAAGCACATATTTTTATACTATAAGAGGTGTTGCGGATAAGAGATGGATACCCCAAAGCGTAACAGACGGACGGACGGACATCATTATATACCCTCCCGCTTTTCAAGCGGAGGATATAATAATATATAATACTGCTGATTTTTTTCTGTCAGTACGATGATTTCCACCATCGAAAAACAATGTTTACCTAACCCTTTAGAGTCGATAAATCTTTTACTCTTTAGATTCTGAATCAGCGCATTGATCTTAAAATATAGCTATATCCGTAATTCGTTATATCCGTATAAGAAATTCATTAAAGATATATAGCTGGGGATTCAAGATGACTTCGCTGTAACCGTAAATTCGCAATGTTTTTACTCTGTTTCTTATTATTGTTATTCTTCATCTTCTTCCTGGGTACTTTTTTATCCGGGAGTGATCTTGTAAACTACACATCCGACTTAGGTAAAACCTTTTTAGGGTCAGTAGGCATGTTATGTAGATTTGCGGAACGAAGGTCATCTTGCGCGCACGTGCAACACATGAAATGGCCGATTTAATTGATATAGCCTTAAACTTTTTACATTTTTGATGAAAGGCTTTGAAACTCATAATATAAGAATATATTAGTAGCATAGACAATATGACATGGTCAAAATAGCAAGATCTCACGCGCATGCACGTGCGCTTGGCTCTGATTGGCTGAAACTAATGTCTCAATATCTTTCTTGTTTTTTGACCAAATCCTTTAAAATTTTGAA